CTCATACATCTTGTCCACCTCTTTTCCTTTCTTTCCCTCATATACCTTTCCCCTTTTCTTTCTTTCTTTTATGTTTCCTTCTTCTTTTTGTCCCCTTCCCCCTTGTCTTTCTTCCCTTTCCTCCTCTCCTTTTTCTTCCTTCATTCAGCCTTTTCTTGGAAGTCAGTGTCTCCTTGATGCAATTTATAAAAACACAGATTTCAAAATATAAATCTTCATTAAATTGTTTACTGCCTATGGATTTCAGGGCTGGGTTGTAGGTTGTTTTTGTTTTTTTTTTGTCGTGTCAGGAGCGACTTGAGAAACTGCAAGTCGCTTCAGGTGTGAGAGGATTGGCCGTCTGCAAGGACGTTGCCTAGGGGACTCCCGGATGATTTGATGTTTTTTTATCATCCTTGTGGGAGGCTTCTCTTATGTCCCCGCATGAGGAACTGGAGCTGATAGAGGGAGCTCATCCGCCTCTCCCCAGATTTGAGAACCTGTGACATGTCGGTCTTCAGTCCTGCCGGCACAGGGGTTTAACCCACTGCGCCACCGGGGGCTGGGTTGTAGGTCTCGAGATGCTGTCATTTTGTCTACAGTAGCTAATCCTTTCTATCTATATACTGCCCTCTTGTGGTTGCATCTGAGCGCTGCTACATACATACCTGCAGGCCAGTACTACTTATTCCTTTCCATCTGTATGCTGACAATGTATACTTTTGGGGGCCCTCACTACAAAATGGGATTTTGTAGTTGAAACCTCATAATTATTTTAAAGTGGATAAAGAAGGTGATATGTACCAAGTTTGGTCCAGATCGATCACTCCCTGTAGAAGTGTTTCTGGATCAAACCAACATACATACATACTTTCATTTCTATGTATATTGCAGTGCATATATCTGGCGTTGTCCAGGTTTGATTGTGGCTCTTTCTTTTCTTCCCCCCTTTCCCTCATATGCATTCTTCCTCTCTTTCTTCCTTTTCCCCACTCTTCCCTCGCTTTCCCTCATACACCTCCACTTCCTTTCTTTACTTCCTCTTTCCTCCTTTTTCTCTCTTCTATCTTATTTCCTTTCCCCTTCTTTCCTCCTCCCTTCCCCTCAACAAGTGTCACCTAGTAAAGGCCAATCCACTGCACTCCATTTATTTCCCAGTCATGTGACAGGGGACCACTTCACCTAGCAACAGCAAATCTTTGTTCCTTTTCTTTCCTTCAGCTCTGGGCCCAAATGGGTAGGGTTTTTTAATAGTTCAAATCCCCCAATTGTTTTAAGTTGGATGATAAAGAGTATGTGTGTCAAGCCTAGCCCAGATCCATGTGGTACAACCCAACCAATATAGGGCACTCTGACTTTTATATATAAAGAAACAAACCAATATATCTATATATGTATCCATTCTACACAAACACACAAGCAATTTGCCAACTCCCATTGGATTTCCTTTCCCCCCTGAAAACACACATCCCCTTCTTTGTACCTTTGGGTGTCTGTTACAGGGGATACCTCCATTGTTTCTCAGCAACTAGCTCTGGTTTGGTTAAACTTGGAACTTGGAACCTGATCTATGCAGCCCTATAGGAGCCTCCCTGTTGTTCATTCGTTCAGTCGTCTCCGACTCTTCGTGACCTCATGGACCAGCCCACGCCAGAGCTCCCTGTCGGCCGTCACCACCCCCAGCTCCTTCAAGGTCAATCCAGTCACTTCAAGGATGCCATCCATCCATCTTGCCCTTGGTCGGCCCCTTGGAGCCTCCCTACTGTACTGAATTTGGGTTTTTAGGTTTTGCAGGTGCCCTTATGAAATTTGTTTCCCTCATAAACATGACAACTGGGCGGAGTTTGAAGGCCCTTCCACACAGCCATATAACCTAGAATATCAAAGCAGAAAATCTAACAATATCTACTTTGAACTGGGTTATCTGAATCTGCAGAAAATTTTATTCAGCGGTGTGGAAGAGGCCTGGGATATTGGGGCTGTGTGAAACGACCCTTGGGCCCCTTCTACACAGCTCTATAAAATCCAGATTCTCTCCTCTGAACTGGATTATTTATTTACTTACGACATTTATATGCTGCCCTTCTCACCTTGAAGGGAACTCAGAGCGGCTTACAAGATATATGTACATACAATATATTATATTATAAGCATGGTACAATATTAGTATTAAATATTAATATATTGTACTATACCATTACATTGCAATATTATTAGTAACTAGGCCTGCCCTCTCAGTTATGAGTCAGCCTTTGCTATCTGCCCACCCTGCCTTTTCCCATTGCCCTTCTCTTTCACAATATCCATGGCCAACCAAAGTTGATTCCAACTCAATGAAGGCTAAACCCCTTCACAGCAAACCTTCAAATGGGCCCCAGAGATGCTGTTTGGCGGGTGAGCACATAGGCGCCCTCTTGCTGCGGCAGAAAGAGGGGTCCGGTGCTGGGTGAGCAAGGCCCATCTCAAAGAGAGCTTCCCGCCCCATGCCAGGCCCAGGAAGGCTGAGGGTTGAAAGCTTCCCTTCCCGTTGACACCCAGGCAAGGGAAAGCGAAGCCTGGCGAGCGGTGCCTGCACAGAGCAGCCATCCACCTGCCTTGCCAGGTGGGAAAGGAGAAGGGGTCTCTGTTTGGTGGGGCCAACAAAGAAAGGATGGAGACTGGGAGGCCCCTGAGTGGCAGATGCGAGGCCCCTGAGTGGCAGAAGAGGGTAGGCCCAAAGGGAAGGAAGGAGCCCCGTGGGGTGGCGGGTGGGAGAGGGAGAAGACCCCAAATTGGGAGCCTGGGGAAGCTGAGGGTCTGCCTGCCCAGCCACCATAGCCTCCCTGCAGCTGTTTGTTTTTTCTCCTCGCGCAGGACTGGGGAAGCTGAGGGTCTGCCTGCCCAGCCCACCATAGCCTCCCTGCAGCTGTTTGTTTTTTCTCCTCGCGCAGGAGGGGGGCAGGGTCAGGGGAGTCGTTTTCATGCGTGCGCTGTACCTTGATTTATCATTTGAGGGTTTTAAAGTCCCTTTCACTGTTTTTTTGTGGGTTTTTTTAGTGATGGTCACTAAAAAAAGGTGTGTTAAGTGTATTCTGTCCAAATTTGGTGTCATTCGTCCATTGGTTTTTGAGTTATGTTAATCCCACAAACGAAAATTACATTTTTATTTATATCGATATTACATGTAATATAAATATATAATTATATCATATTATTATTATATTGCATTATATTATAAATATTATATGTATATACAATACATTATATAATAATAATAACAACACTTTATTTGTACCCGCTACCATCTCCCCAAGGGACTCGGTGCGGCTTACATGAGGCCGAGCCCAAACACAACAATACAAGCAATTAAAAAAACATAAACAATAAAATACACAACATTATCAATAAAACAACACATAATTAAAAACAGTGGGAAGGCCAAATGTAGAGTTAAAATTGGAAATAATGCTGGGACATGAACGAAAGGTGATACTGGTGTTTGTGGAAGGGCATACGAGCAGACTTAAAGAAATGTAAAGTGCTTTGGAGGACAAAGTGCTATGGGATCATTATTCCGGGAAGGCACACTGGAACAGCCACGTCTTCAAGCTCCTCCTGAAGACTGCCAGAGTTGGAGCCTGTCTGATGTCTTTAGGGAGTGAGTTCCAGAGTTGAAGGGCCACCACCGAAAAGGCCCTCTCTCTCATCCCCACCAATCGCGCCTGCGATGCTGGTGGGATCGAGAGCAGGGCCTCTCCGGATGATAGAAGGGATCATGTGGGTTCGTATACAGAGATGCGTCACGCAGGTAGGCGGGTCCCAAACCGTTCAGGGCTTTGTAGGTGAGAACCTGCACCTTGAATTGGGTCCGGTAGATGAATGGCAGCCAGTGGAGCTCCTTGAACAGGAGGAATGACCGCTCCCTGTAAGGAGCCCCAGTTAACAACCTGGCTGCCGCCCGTTGGATCATCTGAAATTTCCGGGCCGTTTTCAAGGGCAGCCCCACGTAGAGTGCATTGCAGTCAGGGGCGGCTCAACCATTACGCAAAGTAAGCATTCGCAGTACAGTTGATTTTGCCCAGGGGCGCTCTTGAGGGAAAATAGACTTTGACATATGTGAGTTGTAGTTACTGAGATGTATAGTTCACCTACAATCAGAGCATTCTGAACTCCACCAATGATGGAATTGAACCAAATATGGCACACAGAACGAATAGAAAATATATATCAGTGATTAGTTGGGGGTTTTCTTAGGCAAGGAATACTCTGCAGTGGATTTTCTCTTAAATATAGAGTGGCACAATGGCAATGAATAGAAAATATATATCAATGATTGGTTGGGGGAGGGGGCGCCAAAATACTGTTTGCTTACCATTGAAAATTACCTAGGGCCGCCTCAGATTGCAGTAATCCAGTCTAGAGGTGACTACGGCGTGGACATTATATTACACTATTACATTATATTATTAAAATAGCACAGGAAACAAGGTGGAACTGACTTCTGCCCCCTCTCTCTTCACTCTGGCCCAGAGCAGCAGTTGGTGCTGGGGGGAGGGGTTATATGGCAGTGTAGTTAAATCCTTGGGCCTACTGAATTAAGCGAGGCCTACTCTCGAGTAGAGAAGAAGGCGAAGCACCTGTCACCCTGCTGAGGGAACGACACCAGTAATTTGACGCCTTGAGTTTTCAAGAAAGCCAGGGTTTCAGGGAAGGAATTCAGGGTCCCTTTCCCGGAATAGCTGCCGGGCTTTCCTTCACGCCGTGCTTTCTATTTCGCTTTTTTTCCCCGCCTCAGCGCTTGAGAATCGAAAGCGGAGCCGTGTCTGCCCGCTGCGCATGCGCCCTCGCACTCTCCGCCATCCCGGCCTCGCCTCGCCTCACGCCCTAGAATACACCGCCTCGCGCCCCCCAAAGCCAATGAGAGAAGAGAACCCGAAGCCCCTCTCGCGTGACGTCGGGGGCCTTTTTTTTTAGCGTGACGTCAGAGAGAGCCCGCCTCCCGGTGACCGCACAATCCCTCTCCGCCCCGGGGACGGCGGCCAATCAAGTGCGGGGAGGGAAAGAGGCGGCCTGTGACGTCGGCGGGGGCTGCCCCTGGGCAAAAGCGGAGAGGCAGCAGCAGGAGCAGCAGCAGAGGAACCTGCCTTCTCAGCGCGTCCCCTCATCCTTGCAGACATGGAGAGCGCAGGCGTGGGAGCCGACTTCAACATCCTCCTGGCCACGGACTCCTACAAGGTTGGAGGGTGAAGGGAGCGAGGGGAGGCTGGCGGGAAAGAAAGGAAGGAAGGAAGGAAGGGGAGAGCGGGTCCTGAGGCGAGGAAGGCAGGCATGGGCGGCCCAGCCTCGCCATGAGTCCCCTCAGGCCTTTCAGGCACAGAGCAGGCTTCACCTGCTTGTGGCGCGCGACGTGTGTAACGGCTCGCAGGCCATGAAGAGGCACGAGGACCAGGGAAGGGCGGGGGGAGGCTCTCGTGCCTTCTGGGAGCAGATCCCTTTGTCACTTCCCCACGACTTGGGTTGGGATCGCCAATTGGTTGGGCGTGAATACACAGCCTGGAGCATCCCTCACCCCAAACCCCAAAGCACATGGGCGGCCCAGAGAGTGACACCTTTGCCTTTCTGAGGCTTCCAGGTCCTCCTGATTTGTGAGTGTGGGGGAAATCTTCATTCAGCCCTGCTTTCACTGTCCTGCAGGGCTGAATGAAGACTCTATACCAGTGTTTCTCAACCTGGGGGTCGGGACCCCTGTGGGGGTCATGAGGGGGTGTCAGAGGGATCACCAAAGACCATCAGAAAACATAGTATGTTCTCTTTGTCATGGGTGTTCTGTGTGGGAAGTTTGGTCCAATTCTATCATTATGCTATTTCATTGTGGGTGAACTATAAATCCCAACAACCACAACTCCCAAATGGCAAGGTCTATTTTCTCCAAACTCTACCAGTGTTCGCATTTGGGCATATTGATTATCTGTGCCAAGTTTGACCCAGATCCATCACTGTTTGAGTCCACAGTGTTCTCTGGATTGAGGTGAACTACAATTCCAAAAACTCAAGGTCAGTGTCCACCAGACTCTCCCAGTATTTCTCTTGGCCATGGGAATTCTATGTGCCAAGTTTGATTGAATTCCATCATTGGTGGAGTTCAAAAAGGCTCTGATTTTAGGTGAACTATAAATCCCAGCAACTCCAACATTCCCAAATGACAAACTCAATCCCCTCCAACCCCACCAGCATTCAGATTTGGGTGTATCGGGTATTTGTGCCAAATTTGGTCCAGTGAATGAAAATACATCCTGCATATCAGATATTTATATTACAATTCATAACAGGAGCAAAATTAAAGAAGTAGCCATGAAAATAATGTTATGGTTGGGGGTCAACACAACGTGAGGAACTGTATGAAGGGGTCGCGGCATTAGGAAGGTTGAGAACCACTGCTCTATACAAAAAGATCCTACCTCTCAACACTAGAACTTCCTGATGAAGTATCTATTCTGCCTTGGTTAGACCACACCTGGGATATTGTGTCTAATTCGGGCACCACAATTGTCAATCTGGAATGTGTCCAGAGGAGGGTGACTAAAATGATTAAGGGTCTGGAGAACAAGCCCTATGAGGAGTGGCTTAAAGAGGTGGGATTATTAAGCCCGAAGAAGAGAAGGCTGAGAGGAGACATGATAGCTATGTATAAATATGATCAGGGGTCTGGAGAACAAGCCCTATGAGGAGTGGCTTAAAGAGCTGGGATTGTTAAGGCCGAAGAAGAGAAGGCTGAGAGGAGACATGACAGCTATATATAAATATGATCAGGGGTATGAGGAGTGGCTTAAAGAGCTGGGATTGTTAAGCCCGAAGAAGAGAAGGCTGAGAGGAGACATGATAGCTTTGTATAAATATGATCAGGGGTCTGGAGAACAAGCTCTATGAGGAGTGGCTTAAAGAGCTGGGATTGTTAAGCCCGAAGAAGAGAAGGCTGAGAGGAGACATGATAGCCATGTATAAAAATATGATCAAGGGTCTYGAGAACAAGCCCTATGAGGAATGGCTTAAAGAGCTGGGATTGTTAAGCCTGAAGAAGGAAAGGCTGAGAGGAGACATGATAGCTATGTATAAATATGATCAAGGGTCTGGAGAACAAGCCCTGTGAGGAGTGGCTTAAAGAGCTGGGATCATTAAGCCCGAAGAAGGAAAGGCTGAGAGGAGACATGATAGCTATGTATAAATATAATCAGGGGTCTGGAGAACAAGCCCTATGAGGAGTGGCTTAAAGAGCTGGGATTGTTAAGCCTGAAGAAGAGAAGGCTGAGAGGAGACATGATAGCCAGGCCTGTAGCGAGGGGGTGGTTTTAGGGGTTCAACCCCCCCCCCCCGAAATGTTTCAGATTTTTTAAAAAACCTGGTTTACTCATGAATTTTAACTGGTTAACCAAATCCTCATGCTAAGTCTATGAGATGCAAAAAATTAAGAGTCCCTCCAGAACTGCAAGCACTGTCTCAGGCAAATATTGACAATTTATTCACACTGTCATTACTTGCAGCAATAGCCGATGTAGTGAAGCAACCAAGTTGGGGGTGTGTTGAATGCTCTCATTAAGGAGGCCAGACTTGGTGGAAGTGGTTGACAGGAGCGGAGCTGCAGGCTATGGAAGACTGCTCTGCCCCCTGCTGTGCTCTTTGATTCAGCGTGAGCTAGGAGGCAGTTTTCAACCCCCCCCCCTCCCGAAAAACAGATGGACGGCCATCTGTTGGGGGAGCTTTGTAATTTTCCTGTTTCTTGGCAGGGGGTTGGACTGAATGACCCATGAGGTCTCTTCCAACTCTGATTCTGTGATAACAGGGGAATATGCTCTGTGGTGGAATAACGGGAATATGCTGTGTGCTGGAATACCCTTCTCTGGAGGATTGTAAGCAGAGGCTGGATGGCCATCTCTCGGGAATGTTTGGATTGGGTGTTCCTGCCTGGCAGAATGGGGTTGGACTGGATGGCCCTTGCGATCCCTACCAGCTCCATGATTCTATCACTCAACTCTCATGATAGAGGACTCAGAGCAACTCTCTGATTCTATATCTCAAGCAGTCCATGAGTTACAAACATTCAACTTACAAAGGACAATAGGAAGTGAGAGAAATCTACTCCTGGTAAGGGAGATTTGTAAGCAGAGGCCATTTCTCATAATGTTTTGATTGGGTCTTCCTGCCTGGCAGAATGAGGTTGACCTGGATGGCCCTTGAAATCCCTTCCAGCTCCATGATTCTATCATTCAACTCTTATGATAGAAGACTCAGAGCAATGGGTTCAAATGACAGGAAAGGAGATTCCACCTGAACATTAGGAAAAACTTCCTGACTGTAAGAGCTGTTCAGCAGTAAGGGTGTGATGGAAGCTCCTTCCTTGGAAGCTTTTCAACAGAGGCTGGGTGGCCATCTGTCAGGGGTACTTTGATTGTGCTTTTCCTGCAAGGCAGGAGGTTGGACTAGATCAGGTCCTCAGACTTTTTAAACAGAGGGTCTGTTTACAGTCCTAAACTGTTGGAGGGCCGGATTATAATTTGAAAAAAGCACAAATGAATTCCCACATCCACTGCACATATCTTATTTGTAGTGCAAAAGACACTTAAAAACAATACAATAATTAAAATGAAGGACAATTTTAACAAATATAAACTTATTCGTATTTCAGTGGGAAGTGTGAGCCTGCTTTTGGGTGATGAGATAGGATTGATGAGACAGGAAAGGAGATTCCACCTGAATATTAGGAAGAACTTTCTGACTGTGAGAGCTGTTTAGCAGTGGAACTCTCTGCCCCAAAGTGTGGTGGAGGCTCCTTCTATGGAGGCTTTTAAACAGAGATTAAATAGCCATTTGTTGGGGTGCTTTGAACGCGATTGTCCTGCTACTTGGCAGAGGGTTGGACTGGATGGCTGACAAGGTCTCTTCCAACTCTATGATTCCATGATTGTTGTTGTTGCGTGCTTTCAAGTAATTTCAGACTTAAGTTTACTCTGAGCAAGGGCTGGGTAAATGACCTTGGAGGACAGTATCCGGCCCTTGGGCCTTAGTTGGAGGATCCCTGGACTAGATGGTCCATGTGGTCTCTTCCAACTTTCTGGGTCTATATCTCAAGCAACCCATGGGTTATAAACATCCAACTTACAAAGGACAATGGGAAGTGAGAGAAATCTACTCCTCGGAAGGGAAATTCACTCCTGGAAGAGTGATCATGGGGGAAAGGTGTCTCCACTGAAGCTTTCTCTCCAATCCTTGTTTCCACAACAAGCCAAATTCTTCAAAGCCAATTCTCACAGGGACAGGAAGTGAGGTGAAATCTTCCTGACAGGGGCATAGACAGCAAAACTAACATCACAGGGGTGTTTACCCTTCCCTATGCTAGCCAAAGCTTGTGTGTGTATATATGTGTGTGTGAGTTACACTTGGAATGTACCTGTTAAATTTGATTTACAAACAAATTTGGCTTAAGAAGAGATATATAAAACTGATCTTGTTCATAACTTGGGGGTTGCCTGTGTATGCAAACACAGGTATTTCAAGATGCTTCTGATTCTGAGCATTTTGGATAAGAAATGTTCAATGTATAATGATATTTATTTAGTTATTTATCGTGTCAGGAGCAGACCAAACAATTGCATTGCATTTTTAAACAAACAAACAAAATTAATCTGTGATTAAGAAGGGTAGGAGGACTAAGCTTGGCTGGTTGCAGTGGCAGAAATTCAGGATTTGTCAGTCAAACGTAGCATAGATAGATGGAGGGTGGGGAAGGAATCTTGGTGCCAAGTGCTTCCCCTTTTTTTAGTTTCTTTTCCTCTAGATTCTGGGCTTCCAGAAATAGGAAAATGAAGAGGGAGCAAAAGAGCAAGATAGAAAGTGAAACTTATGGTGGGAAGGAGCTGGCTCAGCACTAGAGCTCTTGCGACATTTGATCTTTTCATCCAGACACTGACAATCTGACTTGAGGGGGTTGCTAAATGAAATACTGAGGAAGCACCTGCCTCATTCTATTACTAAGTTAGTTCAAAGGGCTAATTTTAGGTGGCAGTGGTAGTAAAAGGGAATGTTGGCGTTTCTGAGAAAACAATCTTTTGTACACAAGCTAACATTTACTTTCTAACAAAAGCCCTATGCTTCTAGCTAGCAAATAATGGCCCAAAGGAAGCATCTTTTTTATTTTCATCAGGTTTCGTAAAATTATTTGTTACACTAGTGGTGTTTCCTAT